TATGCGCTGTGCATTTAATCACATTTGGCCAAATGTACAGTTTTAATTTTTGTTTTCAATATAGACTAGTATATTCAAGGTCTACCGGGGGAAGGCACCCACGGATAAACTGTGTTAATCAGCGCTAGCAGAAAAGAGGCGAAACGTATGTCTCTGCTTTCAGTTTGTACCTTCGCTGCCAGTACGGTAAATTATCACATCAACTTCCAGTGAATGTTAATACCTTAATTAGTAATTAAGGGGTCTAGGCACATACGCCTCAGCGTGTGCTCACGGTAGCCTGCCTTCCAACTGTCTCCTCTCCTCACCTAAAGGAGCCATGGACCTAGAAGATCGTAGCTGTTAGGATTAACCGTATTAGCCTTCACGCCTTTAAACTCATTTGCGGCGTTGCACCAGGCGAAGGAACCGCCCCAGAAATTAGTCAAAGTGACGAGGCAGGATACCATGCCAGCGAATTAAACTGCCCCCAACTGTTAAACGTTAGAGTTCCACGACGGTTATTCTGTACAGAAAGATGGCGGCGGCCTCGGCCTGTGCGCGCACTTGTCTGTCCGCTAACGTGATGCGGCCAGTAGCGCTGGATTCACGCCTGTGATTGGCTGTCCAATAGCAGGATTACAGCCGCAACCACGTTAATTCTCGCGTTTCAATATTAAGGCTGCACAGTACAGAGATAAAAAAGCATCCGGGCCGACAATGATTATTGGAGTCTTATGCAGCCTGACAGTTTTGAAATTGTCGGGATTGCCTTCCAAAAACGTACGGAGAAGCCATATTCTCCTCGTAGCAAACAACATAGCAACCATAACAAGCAGAAAAGTTAAACTGATATGCAATACTCTAATGTGCCACAGTGGCCCACAACATTGGTGGACTTTTTCCGAACCCACACAACGTTTGGCATTTTTAATGGCGTCTAAAGCGTCCCTAGTTACGCAGCACGTGCATGCAGGATGTGAGACAAGTTAAACCAGCTGAGGTCTGCGAAAGACGCTTCCGCCACCTC